CTAGGCTCTTGGCTTGGACTTGACTTTGGGTGAGGGATGGACCTGGGAGAGCATGGGCTTCTGGCTGGGACAAGGCTCTCATCAGCATCCTCAGAACCCAGCCGTGCCTTCCTCTCTCCCCAACCCTGCTCAACCCTGGGGCTGGAGGAAGGGTTGCTTTTGCCGGTTTTGTTCATCTGACTCAGCAGACAGAGCCACCCGCCATGAGAGCTATGCTCAGCGCTCTTGAGAATGACCCTGAGGGTTCTGCTCAGATGAGAACGTGGCACGCGGGCAGCTGGTCTAGGGCAGCATGTGGGGCTGGGGATGAACTAGAGCCCTGATTCTGGAATCTAGGACTTGGTAAGTCCAGCAAATCTTTTTTTTTTTTTTTTCTTAATGTTGATATTTTTGTCCCTCCTGAGCTTTAAATGTTTGGCTTAAAAAATATTGTTATCAGAAATATTAATTACTGAGTTTGTTTGGCAATCCCTTGAATTTTACACCTTAGGCAAATTTTGTTCCTGAAAAGTTGTTGTTGTTGTTGTTTTGTTGGCGTAGGTAGAAATGGGGACTGAATCCAGCGGTGCTCTCTCATGGAGCTGCACCCCACCCCCCTTTGAATGTTGTCACAGGGTCTCACTGGTCTCAAATTTGCAATCCTCCTGCCTCAGTTTCTTGAGTTGTCTCTGTACCTGGCTGAAGTCACACTTATTTTTAATTTCAATTTGGGGGATTGAACTCAGGTGCTTTACCACTATTGACATCCCCAGCCTTTTTATTTATTTTTTTTTTTATCTTGAGACAGGGTCTCACTATAATTTGCCCAGGCTGCCCTTGAACTTTCCATCCTCCTGCCTCAGCCTCCCTAGTGGCTGGGATGATAGGAGTACCACTGTGCCAGCTTTATGTATTTGCTTTTAAAGCGAACCACTGAACCATCTCTTCCAGCTGCATAGTGGGACGATGTTGCCCAGGTGACTTCATACGTGGCCTGGATCCTGGGGAAGGGTAGTCATGCAAATCACGTTACGCTACTACTAGTCATAGCTGGAGACTTTCCTTCAGTGGTCGGTGTCCCTAACTAACTATGAGGATTGGACTGAGGATTGAGGTGACACCAGGCCCGGGTGCCAGCCTCTCTCTGCTTTGATAGCCAATGGGCTGGGCAAGGATCTGAAAAGAGAGTAGGCCTCAAGGCCAGGGTGTTCACGACCTTTTGTGTCTCTTTAGGTCAAAACCCCATGGCACTCCCGAAAGCAGGAAAGAACATTTTCTGGTTTTCTTCCCAGTTCCTCCCATCTTCTCTCTAGCTCTCCCTGCTCCCTCCCTCTCTTCTTTCCGGCTGAGCTTGCTGTCCTGTGCTTCATGCTAGATGCTTGCAAGTCGTGGAGAGTGTGGCAGGGAAGACCCCCCCGCTGGAGCCCACAGAATGCAGTGGTGCCCATCCCGTGAATCTCCTTCATTGTGCGGAGTGTGGTCAGTGGGACGGTACTCCCCCAGCATGCCTGAGGCTCTGGGTTTGTTCCCCAGCTCCCCTCCCCCAAATTGTTCTAGATAATTTTCCATTTCCAGATTCAAGTTTGTAATTTTCCTGCATTCAGTTCTAGGAACCTGTATAAAAAGCCAGCCTAGTCCCCCGCCCCCCCAACCCTTAATGATGATTCCAAGCATCAAAAGGTTTCCCAAAGAAAAAGAAAGGCAGAAAAACAGTTTGGGTCTATAAGAATAAATGCAAAAGAAAGTTCTTGGCTGGAGACGCAGACCTGCCCAGCTGCAGTGCCGGTCCACCTGAGTATGGAGCATGGACCTGCCATAGGGGCAGTCTAGTCTCCGCCATCTGCTGTTTCCAAGGCGGCACTAGCTGGGTGCTAGGATAGTGAATCAAGAAGGCAGACTCTCTCTGGACTCAGGACCTCCTGGGTGGGATTGGATCTTGGCTAGGAAGTACTTTCTCTTCCAGCTTCTAGGAGTCCCTGCCAGGCAGGTAGCTGACATGCCCAGGGGCCACTAGTCCTGCTGAGAATCCTTCACAGCCGTCAGTCTCCAGAAGCCCCTGACCCCCTCCTTTCTTCTGGGTTCAGGAAGATGGTTCAGGAAGTGATTTGCTTTAAAAACACACCTGAAGCCTGCATGGTGGCCTGTAGTTATGAATTTTCTGGGTATGAACCCGGCTCTGGTTTATAAATCTGGAAGCAGACCTAAGCCGGTGGTGTCAGCATGGAAGAAAGCTGGGCCCTCGGCCCAGGAGCTCTGTTCTGGCCCTGGTCCTGCTGGTAGAAGGCTCTGCATCCCTCTTCTCCTGTGGGTCTAGGTGATCTGAAGGGCCCTTCTGTCCTGGTGAATCCTGTCTTCCAAGGCTCCATCTCCATGTCTTGCATCCCAGCCTGCTTCTGCTCCCCTCTCCTGCCAGGTGTACACCAGGTTCCCCCCACCTCAGAGGGGACTTCAAAGAATTTCAAGCAGAGCAGAGGAAGGTCCAGATCAGCCGTCTCCCTGTGTCTTTTGCAGACAGTACACACAGTCTCTGGTTAGTGGTGCATTGCCAAGAAATCTAACCAGAGGTAGAATGCTCCCGAATGTCAACCAGTGGGGAAATCAGCCAAAACAGGGGCACAGGGCCGTCCCTGTGATGCCCATCCTCACGTGGTGTTTGCTGGCAGTGATTAGGGGGACTTGGGTTGCAAAGCCAAGCCCTCCCCACATTTGTGCATCTTTAGAGGAGACTGGGGGACAGACTGGAACACACAGTGGTTGTCCCTGGCCTATGGCAACGTGTCAGCCTCCCTCCAGCAGACTCCCTTTCAAGAGAGTCTGTGAAATTGGGTGGTGGTGGTGGAGAAGGTCAACAGGATGAATCCCAAGGCCCCTCAAGCTGGAACCTTCCGGATTAGCCCGGTTCAGAAGGGCAGGTAGTTGCACCTCCTCCCCCAAGCCTGGTTCAGGTGAGGACAGGGGCTCCGCTGAAGATACGGGGTTCCCAGGAGGGTGGGTCAGACCTGGGGCTTTGTGTGGGTTCAGAAATTAACAATGAGGGAAGAACCAAGCCCTGAGGGAGAGAGGGACGCAGGGTGGAAAGATTAGGAACCTCTGCTGTCGCTGACGCAAGCACGCCAGCGGGTGGCGCTGTAGGACAAGGAGCCGAGAGGCTCTCCGGAGAGAGCGCTGGGGGCCTGGCGGGAGGGCCTGGGCTGTGCACTCCAAGAGCGTGCCCGGCATCTGCCGCAGCATGGGGCAAGTGGTGGGATAAACCAGCGAGAGTCCTGGAGCCCTGGGGGCTGAGCTTGTGCTTGGACAGGCTTTGGAAAAGCAGGCCTGACAGGGCCACTTGCAGGTGGTCATCTCTTGCAGCCAGGGAGGGGCTGGCTTCACCCTTTGGAGCAGCGAATTCAATTCTGGGTCCTTTGGCAAACTTCTGTCCCCTGATGTGTCCCCCAACCCCCCCACCCCCACCACAGGGAATTTCAGGGCAACCTGTCCTTCTGAACATCCTGCCCTTGCCCCCTGTCACCCTCAGGACTCTGGTGCCTGCGCCTTCCCAGTGTGCTTTGGTAAGAAGTTGTTAAAAGTTGTATTTACTTGTAGCTTAAAAGTGCCAGACTCTGGGCCAATCACACTATATACTTTATTTAAAGCCATCGTTATCTAATGTACCTTGAAGAAATGTCCTATGACAGTCGAGCTCCTGGCTCACAGATAAGGCACAGAGGTTAGGTGTCTTGCTCAAGGCCCTGCAGAAAGTATTTGGTGGAGCTGAGCCCGTGCTCTTGACAGTGGTGGCGTGGTACTGCCTGGGCTCTCCTCTGCCAGACTTGGTTGCTCAGTGAGTCAAGGGCAGCTTGGGCCAAATGAGTGAGGGTGTGCCAGGCATGGTAGTGCCACCTGGGATCCCAGCAACTCAGGAGGCTGGGGCAGGAGGATCAAGAGTCTAAGGCCAGCCTGGGCAATTTAGTCAGACCCTGTCTCAAAATAAAAAAGGCCTGGGATTGTAGCTTGGGGTAGAGCACCCCTGGGTTCCTCCCCAGGACGGTGCAATGAGTGAGGACGTTGTCTCCATGGTGCTGAGGAAGGGGTCCAGGCTCGTGGGTGGGTGGGGTCCATCAGGCCCTGCTGAGGCAGGGGCATCTGTGTGAACTGGCTTCTGGTGGGCTACGGTGTGGGTGGGGGGTCGGTGCTTCCCTCCTAGAGGGAAAGAGGAGCAGGTCGCGGCCCTGCAGAGAATAAAACAGGCTGTGGAATTCACCTGGGGCTCTTCCGAGAAAGGCCTTTGAGGAGGGGTGCAGCTGAGCTCTGAATGACAAGCAGGAGGCAGGTGACAGTTGGGGCTCGGGCCTGCAGGCAGAGAGGAAAAGGAGCACAAAGCGCAGCAGCCAAGGCAGGCGTGAGCCAGTGGCCACGGTGGGAGGGGAGCCCGAGGGGCGGGTCGTGGCTCTCCTGCCAGCGGATTGTGGCTTTCTCTCAGGCCGTGGGCCAGGAAGCAGGGAGGTGGCTGGGATCCTCCAGAGAGAGGACCAGGGTGCTGCCTCGAGCTGGTGCAGTGAGGTGGAAAGCCGTGGCTGGCCCAGGGTAGGGTTGGGCAGGTCACGGTGGGAGGCTCAGGCGTCAAGGAACAGAATGGTGCAGTTTGGGCCGCAGCAGCTGGGTGGATGGGTCTCATGACACGGGAGAGGCAGACGAGGAGGTGGGCTTGGTGGGAAGATGGAGTCTTGTGTTTGGGTTGGAGCGGAATGCCAGGCACCACATGCAGGTGGCAGGTGGGCAGCCGGGTGGAGAGTCTAGGACTCCCGGGAGAGGTCCAGGTGGATATCGGCCTTCGGGAGCCCCCAGGGTAGAAAGGGAGTGTAAAGCTCCAAGTCTTGCCTGCCTCTGGACGGGTGCGGGGCATGTCTTGGAGGTCAGTGAACCTTGGAGTGTCTCCGGCAGCCACACTGACTCCGGGTGAGTCTCATATCGGTGGCTCACTACTTCAGGGTTTATTGGCTTACACCCAGGGACTTGAGGGAGAGAGAGGACAGACAGCCTTTAAATTCAAAACAGATCAGCATATAATTTGTGAGAAGAAGCCAAAGAACCTGCAGAAAATTGAATGAAGAAGCACCCAGAAGTTTGCCTGAGAAGTCCCACTGGCCTGGCAGCCTCTCTGCTTCTCGGGAGGGGTCCACAGCCCAGGCAGGCTGGGTGGGAAGTCTAGCCTGGCCTGTCTGATTGACGGGGCCCTGAGCTGAGGGGTGGGGGCTGTCCAAGTAATGAACCATCAGCTCTGCCTGCTGTCAGGGGTCCCAGAGAGATCATTCTGCTGTGGCGAGACACTAGGCATCCCAAAAAGAGCAATTAAAACTCATGTTTGGAATATGGAATGAGAGCTTTCAAAGCACGTCACTGTCACGCTTTCTGCAGGAAACACAGGTGGTTCTTGATGCCTCATGGGCAGAGTCGTAGGATCGACCCTGAGCCTGGATTTTTAGAAACTGCCTTGTAATTGGGGTTCATGGGGTCAGGGGAGAGCTGGCAGAGAAGCAGGGGGAGCCTGGGGAGGAGGAGTCCCCAGGTCGAGGGTCGCTGGGGTAGGTAGGACCGGTATGGGCTAACCTAAAGGGGGGGCCTGGCCAAAAATATCAAGCTAAGGCCTGACTGGGTCTTCGCCCAGCAGAAACCGAGACGGGGAGGAGGGTCGCGCTGGGGTTGGCGAGAGAGCCGAGTCCTCCGGGTCTCCACTGCGACGGGCTTCTCCAGGCAGGCCAGGGCCTAGGGGTGGGTGTAGTTGCCCAGGCGCAGGGTCCCCTGGCGCACTGCGTATTCTTCCCGCTGGGCTTTGAGTGCTCTCTGGCGATCAGCCTCGGTGGGGAAGGTGTCAAGATGGCGACCCACCTGCAGACAGAGGGGAAGAGCAGTGGGGAGGCTCGTCGGGGCCGCTCCCCTCCTCCACCTGTCCACCCTGCTCCTGGGAAGGCGAGGAGCAGGAGACCCGAGGGGGAGAGGACCGCGGCGTCTCAGGTCCCCCTCGTGGCTGGGGAAGATGACGCAGAGTCCATGTCACCCGTGACTGGAGCCACCGTGCGATGGGACCCAGCAGCAGTGTTGTCCTCACATGCTGATTCCCCACCATTAAAAGCTGTCCCCCCCAGGAATGCGGTCTCACTCCCCTCCTGCCTGTGTGATCAGGGCCCTGCCATTGACGGCTTCAGGGTCACAGTTCAAGAGTGTCACCTTGCCCTTCTGGGGGGAAACACTCCATGGAGACAGATCCAAAAAGTGGCGACCTCTGCAGTTGAGACCCCATGCCATCAGGGCTGGGGTGTGACAGTGGTAGAGCTTGCCCAGCTTCCCCATCCCCAGCACCAGTTAGCAGCCGTCCTTGGCCTGTCCTCTCCTCTGGAGAAATGCAGGCAGCGGGCATGACAGAGCACCCCTGTAAGCCCAGCTGCCTGGAGGCGGAGGAAGGTACTAAGAAGGCAGGAGGGAAGGGAGGGAGGGAGGGTGCTGGGTGAGAACCCCTCCTGCCGCCCGCCAGTTGTCCACTGGGCAGCCTCACCTCCTAGTGTAGGAGATCCCACCCACCAACGGAGCACAACACCCCCTAAGTGGCATCTCTGCCCAGGATGACCCAAAGGAGGCAGAGGAGAAAGGGCGTGGGTTCGCTCTCCGCTTAGGCGTCCTCTCATTGTCCCCTCGCTTGCCCCTCCATGCACTCCTGTCTGTTGAGCGCGGCTCCACACCAGGTTGGGGACAGACAGCCGCAGGTGAGGGAGACCCGCCCCACCCTCAGGAGCTGAGAGTCCAGCACCAGGAGAGAGGGCACCCACCGCAGTGGCAAGACCAGGCCTTGGAGCCAGGGAGGCCTCCCTGGAGAAGAGGTGCTTCAGGGGTGGGTGGGATCCAAGGAGGTGCAGGGGCTCCCCAGACACAGGGGAAGTACCCCTGCTGGCCTGGGCTCAGCAGGGCTCAAGTTCCCCAGGGTTCACTGGGGGACATGGTGGCTGGGTGGAGGGCCAGCGAGGTGGTTCCCTTTGGATTTGCAGGGCAGCTGAGAGCCCGTGGTGGCTGCAGGATAAAGCAGGAGCCCCTTCAGACTGGGCACCATCCAGGGCACCGTTGGCTCCCTGAGGGGTGGCCAGCTCAGCCCACGTCTAGCCAGCCGCCTTAACATGACAAAGTGAGCAAGAAATACAAAAAGGGAGAAGACAGAACTTGTAGAGGGAAGTCTCTGTGCTCCGTGCAAAGCGGAGCCTGAGTGGGATCACGTGCTCAGAGCAGGGTTTGGTTCAAGGTTGCCCCACAGGAAATTGGGGGTAGAAAAACTCTGTTAGCCTTCTCCCCCTCCTCTGGAGTCTTTCGGTTTCTTCTTGGGGGAGTTTTGGGTTCTTTCCAGAACATTCTGCTGCAGCTACTGCTGGTGCTGTCTGGGGTGCTCCCCGTTCCTTGACCACAGGTGAAAAGGAGGTGGGGTCACGGGAGCTTGTTGGGCACCCACGGAATCAGAGGGTGGTGAGCAGATCTGGCTATTCCTGGAGGGACCTTGCTCTTCACTCCCTGTCCTATGTGGACCCCACTTCTTCTGGAAAAAAAAGAAGGTGCCCACAAGTCCTTATGTCCAAAAAAGTGCAGGCTGTTTCAGGTTTGTGGCCTTTGCAAGTCCCTGTATGGACCCTATGGCAGCACTCTGGCCTCAGCCCTGGTCTCAAGCTTCAGAAGAGCCCAAAACTCGAGAGTCCATCAGGGCAGGCCCTTCCCCAGACACCTGATGTCCACCTGCTCAGGGTGGAGCACTCTGACTTCTGTCCCCAGTACTGCAAAACTAAATAAATAAATTATGTGACAACTTACATATGGTTTTATAAAAAAAAAAAAAAACATTATGTCAAAATAATTTCCAATTTTGTTACATTGTCACTGTCAAAATAATTTTTTCTTTAAAAACTTTTTAAAAAAATATTTATTCTTAAGTTTTAGGTGGACACAGTATCTTTATTTTAAATATATGTAGTGTTGAGGATCGAACCCAGTGCCTCGTGCATGCTAGGTGAGCACTCTACCACTGAGCCACAACCCCAGCCCCATCTTTAAAAAACTTTAAAAAAAAAATTTTTTTTTTAGTTGTAGATGGACACAATATCTTTATTTATTTTTATGTGGTGCTGAGGATTGAACCCAGTGCCTTACTCGTGCGAGATTAGTGCTCAACCACTGAGCTACAACACCAGCCCCTAAAATACTTTTAGTAGCTGGGCATGGTGACGCACCTCTGTAGTCCCAGTGACTCAGGATTGCAAGTTCTAGGCCAGCCTCAGCAACTTAACAAGACGCTGTCTCAAAATTAAAAAAGGGGCTTTGGATGTAGCTCAGTGGTAAAGGATCCCTAGATTCAATCCCTAGTATCAAAAATAAATAAATGTGAAAAAAAATTTAAAAACTTTAACAGCCTTATTGGGGTATACTTGACATACAAGCTGTGCCCGTCACGGAGTGTCGTTGGAGTGTGGACATGCACAAGACCCTGGAAGACCGTCTTGTAGCCAGGGCAATGCAAGTGTTCATGGCTGCCCCAAGTCTCCTTTACCATGTTGGTTTTTGGTTTTTGGTAAGAAGAGTTATCTTTTAAAGTTCCATTCTTTTGGTAAGAAAAGTTAACATGAAATTTATCTTCTTAGCAAACTTTAGATGCACAATGTATACACACATTGTTGTTGATTACAGGCACAACCTCACCCAGAGCCCCAGAACTTGCCCATTTTGCATAACTGAAACTTGATCCCCGTTGAGCAGCGCCCCCCCCCCCAATGCCCTGGCAACCACTTTCTTCTCCATGCTCCCACTTGTCCCAGCCCTTTGTGATCCTTGTCTCTGCTACCCCCGGCCCTCACAGCTCTCCTTGGCCTTCAGACTGGGTTGACCAATGTCCCTACAATGGACAAATGTGACCTTATTTGGAAAGAAGCTCTTTGCAGGTGTATTAAGTGAAGGATCTCAGGATGAGATCATTCTGGGTTACTAAGGGGACAAGGGTCTTTGAAGAGACAGAAGACACAGAGGAGGTCAGGTGAAGGTGGAGCCCGGGGGTGCAGGGCCTTGGCCCAGGAGCCTCCCGAGGCTGAAGGAGGCAGCCCTGGAACCCTCAGAGTGGGTATAGGCCTGCCCACATCCCGGCTGTAAACTTCTGTCCTCCAAACTGTGAGAGTAAATTGTTTTAAGCTACCAAAGTTCATGGCAATTTGTTAGGAAACTTCTGGGGGGAAATGCAGCCCCCTGACAGCCCTGCACTCACTCAGCAGCCAGAGTGGGGGCTCTCCTGGAAGCCTACTCAAGCAGAAGCGGGTGGGCCCTTGGGAGGGGAAAGGGGATCCTGCAGCCATGGAATCCCCAGATCCCAAACCAAAGCCAGTCGTCTGTGGAGAGGGACAGTCAGCCCTCAGAAAGCATCCTCGGGCAGGTGCTGCTGCAAAAGTGGCCTCGGAGGCCCAGAACGGGCACCTGCAGCGACTCCTTGTCACAGCCATGCAGCGTCAGTACAGATGCGCTGGGCACCAGGCTGTGGCCTGTCTATCTCACGCCAGCCTTGGGACCTCCTGACGAGGGTGGCACCAGCCCCGGCTCCGTTTGGCAGATGGGACAACAGAGGCCCTGGAGGTCTCCGTCACATGCCCTGGGTTTCACAGACTGAACCAGGGGGCAGGACGCCAGGCCTGAGCTCTTTGGCACTAGGCTGGCCGGCCTCCTGAGGTGCTCCTTGATGGAGCCGGGGAAGCCACGGGCAGCGAGGTCACGGCTCCGTCCCTTGCGCACACTCTGCCTCTGAAAAGAGCAGCTCAGCCACACGTGAGGAGCCTCGGCACAGAGCAGGCCTGGAGCCCCGGTGTGGTCATGACCCCGGCCCCGGGGGTCCGAGGATGAAGAGCTGGAGTCAGGAATTCCTTCCGAGATGCTGCTAAATTAAGCCATCTGCGGGCTGTCTCCGCCTGGAGCTAAGAAATTGTAACGGCTCTGGCAGGAGACAGGCTTGCCGAGTGAAGCTGCTTGCTCTGAGGCTAAGGGAGGTAAATACCAGGTGATGCCACAGCCCCGGCAGGCGGTGCCCTGCCTGACGGGAAGGCGCTGGTCCTGTTGGAGCGGGAGCGTGGCACACCGAGGGACAGAGCACCTCCACCGCGCAGTGCCCTGGAGACAGAGAGAAAATGGTGGCCCATGCGAAGTCAAGATGTCCTCAAGTGCATTGCTGTTGAAAGGCTGTTAGGAAACAGCTACCAAATAGACCCTGGGTGGGGAAATGGAAGTCTGTGGGGCAGGCAAGTCCCCAGGGAGGGTGGAGGACGGGGTTGGGGCGTCCAGGCAGTGGGGACCCACCAAAGCCCCAGTGGGAGGAAGTGGGCAGATTCAGGGAACTGAAAGCGAGCGGGTGGGGGGCGGGGGGCAAGGGGAGGCAGAGAGGGGAGCAGCCTGGCTTTTTCCTGTGTGTGCTGGGGGTTGAGCCCAGGACCTCACTTCACTCATCCACGTCCCGAGCCAGGAAAGGGGCGTTTGGGGTGTGGGAGGCTGCCCTCAGTGACCGACCGCAGGCATCGCCCGCTTCCTTCTCAGCGGCACTGAGCTGACTGGGTCCGGGAGGCAGGAGGCATGCCACCTGGGTCTGGATGTGGATGAATCCCATCCGAACTGGGATCCTGTGGTCTTAACTCACTGGAGATGGGGCTCAGGTGAGCACCTGCAGCCCTGGAGTTCTGTGAGGCAGAGTCTGCTCCTGCCTGCTCTGGGAGGGACCCCAGCACCTGGCTCAGGGCCCGGCATCAGAGAGGTGTTTCCACAAGGCCGATGGGTGGGCAAACGGGTGAGGGGATGTCCACCTGGCCTCAGGAGGTCAGGCGTGGCTTGTGAGG